GTCTTAACTCTTGGGTATACTTGTCTTAACTCTTGGGTATACTTGTCTTGACTCATGGGTATACTTGTCTTGACTCATGGGTATACTTGTCTTGACTCATGGGTATACTTGTCTTAACTCATGGGTATACTTGTCTTAACTCATGGGTATACTTGTCTTAACTCATGGGTATACTTGTCTTAACTCTTGGGTATACTTGTCTTAACTCATGGGTATACTTGTCTTAACTCATGGGTATACCTGTCTTAACTCATGGGTATACTTGTCTTGACTCATGGGTATACTTGTCTTGACTCATGGGTATACTTGTCTTAACTCTTGGGTATACTTGTCTTAACTCATGGGTATACTTGTCTTAACTCATGGGTATACTTGTCTTAACTCTTGGGTATACTTGTCTTAACTCTTGGGTATACTTGTCTTGACTCATGGGTATACTTGTCTTGACTCATGGGTATACTTGTCTTAACTCTTGGGTATACTTGTCTTAACTCATGGGTATACTTGTCTTAACTCATGGGTATACTTGTCTTAACTCATGGGTATACTTGTCTTAACTCATGGGTATACTTGTCTTAACTCATGGGTATACTTGTCTTAACTCTTGGGTATACTTGTCTTAACTCTTGGGTATACTTGTCTTGACTCATGGGTATACTTGTCTTGACTCATGGGTATACTTGTCTTAACTCTTGGGTATACTTGTCTTAACTCATGGGTATACTTGTCTTGACTTTTGGACACACCTGCGCTTACTCCACAAGAGCAGGTTGTCGTGGAATAAGCTTACTCCACAAGAGCAGGTTGTCGTGGCATAAGCTTACTCCACAAGAGCAGGTTGTCGTGCCATAAGCTTACTCCACAAGAGCAGGTTGTCGTGGCATAAGCTTGCTCCACAAGAGCAGGTTGTCGTGGCATAAGCTTACTCCACAAGAGCAGGTTGTCGTGGCATAAGCTTACTCCACAAGAGCAGGTTGTCGTGGAATAAGCTTACTCCACAAGAGCAGGTTGTCGTGGCATAAGCTTACTCCACAAGAGCAGGTTGTCGTGGCATAAGCTTACTCCACAAGAGCAGGTTGTCGTGGCATAAGCTTACTCCACAAGAGCAGGTTGTCGTGCCATAAGCTTACTCCACAAGAGCAGGTTGTCGTGGCATAAGCTTACTCCACAAGAGCAGGTTGTCGTGGAATAAGCTTACTCCACAAGAGCAGGTTGTCGTGGCATAAGCTTACTCCACAAGAGCAGGTTGTCGTGGCATAAGCTTACTCCACAAGAGCAGGTTGTCGTGGCATAAGCTTACTCCACAAGAGCAGGTTGTCGTGGCATAAGCTTACTCCACAAGAGGAGTTTTAATATAAAACTTTTAATGGTAAACATTGTCTCGCTGTCTTGAATATTTCTTAAATCATTAGACAAGCAATGTTGGCATGGTGCCTCTCGTGTCATGGTGCCTCTCGTGTCGTGGTGCCTCTCGTGTCGTGGTGCCTCTCGTGTCATGGTGCCTCTCGTGTCGTGGTGCCTCTCGTGTCGTGGTGCCTCTCGTGTCGTGGTGCCTCTCGTGTCGTAGTGCCTCTCGGGTCGTGGTGCCTCTCGTGTCGTGGTGCCTCTCGTGTCGTGGTGCCTCTCGTGTCGTGGTGCCTCTCGTGTCGTGGTGCCTCTCGTGTCATGGTGCCTCTCGTGTCATGGGGCCTCTCGTGTCATGGGGCCTCTCGTGTCGTGGTGCCTCTCGTGTCGTGGTGCCTCTCGTGTCGTGGTGCCTCTCGTGTCGTGGTGCCTCTCGTGTCATGGTGCCTCTCGTGTCATGGTGCCTCTCGTGTCATGGTGCCTCTCGTGTCGTGGTGCCTCTCGTGTCGTGGTGCCTCTCGTGTCATGGTGCCTCTCGTGTCATGGTGCCTCTCGTGTCATGGTGCCTCTCGTGTCACGGTGCCTCTCGTGTCACGGTGCCTCTCGTGTCACGGTGCCTCTCGTGTCACGGTGCCTCTCGTGTCGTGGTGCCTCTCGTGGTACGGTGCCTCTCGTGTCATGGTGCCTCTCGTGTCATGGTGCCTCTCGTGTCATGGTGCCTCTCGTGGTATGGTGCCTCTCGTGTCACGGTGCCTCTCGTGTCACGGTGCCTCTCGTGTCACGGTGCCTCTCGTGTCACGGTGCCTCTCGTGTCACGGTGCCTCTCGTGTCACGGTGCCTCTCGTGGCATGGTGCCTTTCGTGTCATGGTGCCTCTCGTGTCATGGTGCCTCTCGTGTCATGGTGCCTCTCGTGGTACGGTGCCTCTCGTGTCACGGTGCCTCTCGTGGTACGGTGCCTCTCGTGTCATGGTGCCTCTCGTGTCATGGTGCTTCTCTTGTCACGGTGCCTCTCGTGTCATGGTGCCTCTCGTGTCATGGTGCCTCTCGTGTCATGGTGCCTCTCGTGTCATGGTGCCTCTCGTGGTACGGTGCCTCTCGTGTTACGGTGCCTCTCGTGGTACGGTGCCTCTCGTGTCATGGTGCCTCTCGTGTAATGGTGCCTCTCGTGGCATGGTGCCTCTCGTGGCATGGTGCCTCTCGTGGCATGGTGCCTCTCGTGTCACTGTGCCTCTCACCAGTCCCAGGCGTCCTGGACGTGATCACGTATTCGTGTTTCCTTTAAGTAATTTAATATTCACGTCGAAGGTTCTAGATGCAGCAAATGGCTGAATGCAAATTAAAAAACTTCGTTTAGTTAGTTTTCAGATTAGTTAGTAATTTAGTTTAGTTAGAGTTAAGGGGGTGAGTGTAAAGGTGGGGAGGAGGGGGTGAGTGTAAAGGTGGGGAGGAGGGGGTGAGTGTGAAGGTGGGGAGGAGGGGGTGAGGGTATAGGTGGGGAGGAGGGGGTGAGTGTGAAGGTGGGGAGGAGGGGGTGAGTTTAGAGGTGGGGAGGAGGGGGGGTGTGAAGGTGGGGAGGAGGGGGTGAGTGAAGGTGGGGAGGAGGGGTGTGTGAAGGTGGGGAGGAGGGGTGTGAGTGAAGGTGGGGAGGAGGGGGGGTGTGTGAAGGTGGGGAGGAGGGGGTGAGTGTATAGGTGGGGAGGAGGGGGTGAGTGTGAAGGTGGGGAGGAGGGGGTGAGTTTAGAGGTGGGGAGGAGGGGGTGTGTGAAGGTGGGGAGGAGGGGGGGGTGAGTGAAGGTGGGGAGGAGGGGGTGTGTGAAGGTGGGGAGGAGGGGTGAGTGTGATAGGTGGGGAGGAGGGGGTGAGTGTGAAGGTGGGGAGGAGGGGGTGAGTGAAGGTGGGGAGGAGGGGGTGAGTGAAGGTGGGGAGGAGGGGGTGTGTGAAGGTGGGGAGGAGGGGTTGAGTGAAGGTGGGGAGGAGGGGGTGAGTGAAGGTGGGGAGGAGGGGGTGAGTGAAGGTGGGGAGGAGGGGGTGAGTGAAGGTGGGGAGGAGGGGGTGAGTGAAGGTGGGGAGGGGGGGGGTGAGTGAAGGTGGGGAGGAGGGGGTAAGTGTATAGGTGGGGAGGAGGGGGTGAGTTTAGAGGTGGGGAGGAGGGGGGAGGAGGGGGTGAGTGTATTGGTGGGGAGGAGGGGGTGAGAGTATAGGTGGGGAGGAGGGGGTGAGTGTGTGAAGGTGGGGAGGAGGGGGTGAGTGAAGGTGGGGAGGAGGGGGGTGTGTGAAGGTGGGGAGGAGGGGGTGAGTGTATAGGTGGGGAGGAGGGGGTGAGTTCAGAGGGGGGAGGGAGGAGGGGTAAGTGTATAGGTGGGGAGGAGGGGGGTGAGTTTAGAGGTGGGGAGGAGGGGGTAAGTGTATAGGTGGGGAGGAGGAGGTGAGTGTGAGATGAAGATGGGGGGAGGAAGGGGGTAAGTGTATAGGTGGGGAGGAGGGGGTGAGTTTAGAGGTGGGGAGGAGGGGGTGAGTGTATTGGTGGGGAGGAGGGGGTGAGAGTATAGGTGGGGAGGAGGGGGTGAGTGTGAAGGTGGGGAGGAGGGGTGTGAGTGAAGGTGGGGAGGAGGGGGTGAGTGTGAAGGTGGGGAGGAGGGGGTGAGTGTGAAGGTGGGGAGGAGGGGGTGAGTGTGAAGGTGGGGAGAGAGGGGGGAGTGAGTGTGAAGGTGGGGAGGAGGGGGTGTGTGAAGGTGGGGAGGAGGGGAGTGAGTGTAAAGGTGGGGAGGAGGGGGGGCGTGTGAGTGTGAAGGTGGGGAGGGGGGGGTGAGTGTGAAGGTGGGGGAGGAGGGGGGTTGAGTGTAAAGGTGGGGAGGAGGGGGGTGTGTGAAGGTGGGGAGGAGGGGGTGAGTGTAAAGGCGGGGAGGAGCGGGGTTGTGAGTGTGAAGTGGGGGAGGTAGGGGGGGTGAGTGTGAAGGTGGGGAGGAGGGGGGGTGGGAGTGTAAAGGTGGGGAGGAGGGGGGGGTGTGTGAAGGTGGGGAGGAGGGGGTGAGTGTAAAGGTGGGGAGGAGGGGGTGAGTGTATAGGTGGGGAGGAGGGGGGGGGTGAGTGTAAAGGTGGGGAGGAGGGGTGAGTGTAAAGGTGGGGAGGAGGGGGTGAGTATAAAGGTGGGGAGGAGGGGGTGAGTGTGAAGGTGGGGAGGAGGGGGTGAGTGTAAAGGTGGGGGGGAGGGAGGGGGTGAGTGTAAAGGGGGGAGGGGGAGGGGGGGGGTGAGTGTGAAGGTGGGGAGGAGGGGGGTGAGTGTAAAGGTGGGGAGGAGGGGGGGGTGAGTGAGTGTAAAGGTGGGGAGGAGGGGGGTGAGTGTGAAGGTGGGGGGGAGGGGGGAGGTGAGTGTGAAGGTGGGGAGGAGGGGGGGGGTGAGTGTGAAGGTGGGGAGGAGGGGGTGAGTGTAAAGGTGGGGAGGAGGGGGTGAGTGTAAAGGTGGGGAGGAGGGGGTGGGGGGTGAGTGTGAAGGTGGGGAGGAGGGGGTGAGTGTAAAGGTGGGGAGGGGGGGGGGAGTTAATAGGGCACGTATAATTAGGGTTGAATGGGTCGAGAGCTGTGTAATTCGGGGGATGTGGGGATGGAATGGGGGAGACGTGACCCGGAGGTGACCCGGAGGTGACCCAGAGGTGACCTGAAGGTGACCCGGAGGTGACCCGGAGGTGACCAGGTGACCCAGAGGTGACCCAGAGGTGACCTGAAGGTGACCAGAAGGTGACCAGAAGGTGACCCGGAGGTGACCTGAAGGTGACCTGAAGGTGACCTGGAGGTGACCTGGAGGTGACCTGGAGGTGACCCGGAGGTGACTTGGAGGTGACCCGGAGGTGACTTGGAGGTGTCCCGGAGGTGACACGGAGGTGACCAGGAGGTGACCTGAAGGTGACCTGAAGGTGACCTGAAGGTGACCAGAAGGTGACCCGGAGGTTACCCGGAGGTGACCTGAAGGTGACCCGGAGGTGACCAGGAGGTGACCCGGAGGTGACCTGAAGGTGACCTGGAGGTGACCCGGAGGTGACCTGGAGGTGACCTGAGGGTGACACGGAGGTGACCTGGAGGTGACCTGGGTGTGACCTGGGGTTACCTGGAGGTGACCTGAAGGTGACCCGAAGGTGACCTGGAGGTGACCTGGGGGTGACCTGGGGTTACCTGGAGGTGACCTGGGGGTGACCCGGAGGTGACCCGGAGGTGACCTGGAGGTGACCCAGAGGTTACCCGGAGGTGACCCGGAGGTGACCTGGAGGTGACCTGAAGGTGACACGGAGGTGACCTGGAGGTGACCTGGGGGTGACCTGGGGTTACCTGGAGGTGACCTGGGGTGACCCGGAGGTGACCTGAAGGTGACCTGGAGGTGACCCAGAGGTGACCCGTAGGTGACCCGGAGGTGACCTGGAGGTGACCTGAAGGTGACCCGGAGGTGACCTGGAGGTGACCTGAAGGTGACACGGAGGTGACCTGGAGGTGACCTGGAGGTGACACGGTGACCTGAAGGTGACACGGAGGTGACCTGGAGGTGACCTGAAGGTGACACGGAGGTGACCCTGAGGTGACCTGAAGGTGACCCAGAGGTGACCTGAAGGTGACCTGAAGGTGACCAGAAGGTGACCCGGAGGTGACCCGGAGGTGACCTGAAGGTGACCCGGAGGTGACCAGGTGACCCGGAGGTGACCTGAAGGTGACCCGGAGGTGACCTGGAGGTGACTTGGAGGTAACTTGGAGGTGACCTGAAGGTGACACGGAGGTGACCTGGAGGTGACCTGGGGGTGACCTGGGGTTACCTGGAGGTGACCTGAAGGTGACCCGAAGGTGACCTGGAGGTGACCTGGGGGTGACCTGGGGTTACCTGGAGGTGACCTGGGGGTGACCCGGAGGTGACCCGGAGGTGACCTGAAGGTGACCTGGAGGTGACCCAGAGGTGACCTGGAGGTGACCTGGAGGGGACCTGGAGGTGACACGGAGGTGACCTGAAGGTGACACGGAGGTGACCTGGAGGGGACCTGGAGGTGACCTGGAGGGGACCTGGAGGGGACCCGGAGGTGACCTGGAGGGGACCCGGAGGGGACCTGTAGGTGACCTGGAGGGGACCCGGAGGTGACCTGGAGGGGACCCGGAGGTGACCTGGAGGTGACCAGAGGTGACCTGGAGGGGACCCGGAAGTGACCTGGAGGGGTCCTGGAGGTGATCTGGAGGAGACCCGGAGGTGACCTGGAGGGAACCCTGAGGTGACCTGGAGGTGACCTGGAGGTGACCCGGAGGTGACTTGGAGGGGACCCTGAGGTGACCTGGAGGTGACCTGGAGGGGACCTGGAGGTGACGTAGAGTGACCCGGAGGTGACTTGGAGGGGACCCTGAGGTGACCCTGAGGTGACCTGGAGGTGACCTGGAGGGGACCTGGAGGGGACCTGGAGGTGACCTGGAGGGGACCTGGAGGGGACCTGGAGGGGACCTGGAGGTGACCTGGAGGTGACCTGGAGGTGACCCGGAGGTGACTTGGAGGTGACCCGGAGGTGACTTGGAGGTGTCCCCGAGGTGACCTGAAGGTGACACGGAGGTGACCCGGAGGTGACCAGGAGGTGACCTGAAGGTGACCCAGAGGTGACCTGAAGGTGACCTGAAGGTGACCCGGAGGTGACCTGAAGGTGACCCGGAGGTGACCAGGAGGTGACCCGGAGGTGACCTGAAGGTGACCTGGAGGTGACCCGGAGGTGACCTGAAGGTGACACGGAGGTGACCTGGAGGTGACCTGGGTGTGACCTGGGGTTACCTGGAGGTGACCTGAAGGTGACCCGAAGGTGACCTGGAGGTGACCTGGGGGTGACCTGGGGTTACCTGGAGGTGACCTGGGGGTGACCCGGAGGTGACCCGGAGGTGACCTGAAGGTGACCTGGAGGTGACCCAGAGGTTACCCGGAGGTGACCTGGAGGTGACCCGGAGGTGACCTGGAGGTGACCTGAAGGTGACACGGAGGTGACCTGGAGGTGACCTGGGGGTGACCTGGGGTTACCTGGGGTTACCTGGAGGTGACCTGGGGTGACCCGAAGGTGACCTGAAGGTGACCTGGAGGTGACCCAGAGGTGACCCGTAGGTGACCTGGAGGTGACCTGAAGGTGACCCGGAGGTGACCTGGAGGTGACCTGAAGGTGACACGGAGGTGACACGGAGGTGACCTGGAGGTGACACGGTGACCTGAAGGTGACACGGAGGTGACCTGGAGGTGACCTGAAGGTGACACGGAGGTGACCCGGAGGTGACCAGGAGGTGACCTGAAGGTGACCCAGAGGTGACCTGAAGGTGACCTGAAGGTGACCAGAAGGTGACCCGGAGGTGACCCGGAGGTGACCTGAAGGTGACCCGGAGGTGACCAGAAGGTGACCCGGAGTTGACCTGAAGGTGACCCGGAGGTGACCCGGAGGTGACCTGGAGGTGACTTGGAGGTGACTTGGAGGTGACCTGAAGGTGACACGGAGGTGACCTGGAGGTGACCTGGGGGTGACCTGGGGTTACCTGGAGGTGACCTGAAGGTGACCCGAAGGTGACCTGGAGGTGACCTGGGGGTGACCTGGGGTTACCTGGAGGTGACCTGGGGGTGACCCGGAGGTGACCCGGAGGTGACCTGAAGGTGACCTGGAGGTGACCTGGAGGTGACCCGGAGGTGACCTGGAGGTGACCTGAAGGTGACACGGTGACCTGGAGGTGACACGGAGGTGACCTGAAGGTGACACGGAGGTGACCTGGAGGGGACCTGGAGGTGACCTGGAGGGGACCCGGAGGGGACCTGGAGGGGACCCGGAGGTGACCTGGAGGGGACCCGGAGGGGACCTGTAGGTGACCTGGAGGGGACCCGGAGGTGACCTGGAGGGGACCCGGAGGTGACCTGGAGGTGACCCAGAGGTGACCTGGAGGGGACCCGGAAGTGACCTGGAGGGGGCCTGGAGGTGATCTGGAGGGGACCCGGAGGTGACCTGGAGGGAACCCTGAGGTGACCTGGAGGTGACCTGGAGGTGACCCGGAGGTGACTTGGAGGGGACCCTGAGGTGACCTGGAGGTGACCTGGAGGGGACCTGGAGTTGACGTAGAGTGACCCGGAGGTGACTTGGAGGGGACCCTGAGGTGACCCTGAGGTGACCTGGAGGTGACCTGGAGGGGACCTGGAGGTGACCTGGAGGGGACCTGGAGGGGACCTGGAGGGGACCTGGAGGTGACCTGGAGGGGACCTGGAGGGGACCCACCAGCTGAACTCGACCAACTTCTAGATTAAAAAAATGATATTGTAATTTGGCTTAATTTAATGTAGTTTGTAAAATTTCAGGCGAGTCTCCCTCCTCCCCTCTTTATCTTCCCCTCTTTCTACCTACCCCTCTTTCTCTCTACCTCCCCCTCTTTCTCTCTACCTCCCCCTCTTTCTCTCTACCTCCCCCTCTTTCTCTCTACCTCCCCCTCTTTCTCTCTACCTCCCCCTCTTTCTCTCTACCTCCCCCTCTTTCTCTCTACCTCCCCTCTTTCTCTCTACCTCCCCTCTTTCTCTCTACTCCCCCTCTCTGAGTTTCTCCCCTCGCCACTCTTGACCTCCACCTTCCTCCCCTCATAATTCCCCACCTCCATCCTTCCCTCCCCCATCGCCCGTCGACCAATCCACTACCTCTCCCTCTATAACCCCCCTCCCCACCCCCCTAACCCCCCCCCCCTCCCCTCCCCATCATACCATTACACTGAAATTACTGGAAAATTGTGAGAGTTACAGGAATTATCTGCATGAGACGTCAGCCCCGAACCTGGCCCCAAGATACAGACGACATTCCACTGTTTCGGTAAAACACAAAATTGCATAAAATATTAAAGAATTTTTGTAAAAAGTTTAATGTCCTCTGGAAGGGATTAAATTTTAAATAATAAAGAAAGTAGTGTTTTTTTTATTGATCCGAGGCTGTTGGTTAGGTTATGTTGACCCGCCTGTAGGGGGTAATGACCTTCCGGCCATGTTTGAGGCTGACCAGTGACCTTTGAACATGGTCCCTGAAGGTCACGGGACTCGAATTACCGTCTTATGTTTACCAGAGGAAATAATCTTTGAATTACAAGCTGGTTACGTCAGAAATGCTCAGAGCCCCAGATGTCTGACAGGCTGACAGGTAGGCAGGTAGGCGTAACCCGCTTGCAGTCTCCGTGGTGTAGTGGTAAGACACTCGCCTGGCGTTCCGCGAGCGCTATGTCATGGGTTCGTATCCTGGCCGGGGAGGATTTACTGGGCGCAATTCCTTAACTGTAGCCTCTGTTTAACGCAACAGTAAAATGTGTACTTGGATGAAAAAACGATTCTTCGCGGCAGGGGATCGTATTCCAGGGACCATAGGATTAAGGACTTGCCCGAAACGCTACGCGTACTAGGGCTGTACAAGAATGTAACAACTCTTGTATATATTTCAAAAAAAAAAAAAAAAAAAAAAAAAAAAAAAAGACAGACTGACAGTTACGAACACAGTAACAGAAGACAGCGAGTCACTGTGAGGGGTGGGGGGGGGGGGGTTGAGGCCTGAGGGACGTCACCAGTGGAGTCCCGCAAGGCTCAGTCCTTGATTCCCAGAGGGATAGACTCGTTCTTCTCAATGTTTGCTGGTGATGCAAAACTTATGTGGAGGATTAAGACGGAGGAAGTTAGTATGAGGCTACAAGATGACCTAGACAACTGAATGTGGTCCAACAAATGGCTACTAAAGTTCAACCCAATCAAATGTAATGAAGCTAGGGGGAGGAAACAGGAGGACAGACACAGGATACCGGATAGGAGAGAAAGATCTAGGAGTTGATATCACGCCAAACCTGTCTCCTGAAGCCAACATCAAAAGAATAACATCAGCGGCGTATGCGAGGCTGGCTAACATCAGAATTGCCAAGAGGAACCTGTGTAACGAATCTTGTACACCACATACGTAAGACCAATCCTGGAGTATGCGGCCCCAGCATGGAGCCCCGTACCTTGTCAAGCACAAGACGAAGCTGGAAAAAGTTCAGAGGTAAGCCACTAGGCTAGTCCCAGAACTAAGAGGCATGAGTTATGAGGAAAGGCTGCGGGAAATGCACCTCGCGAAGCTGGAGGACAGGAAAGCTCAGGAAGACATGATTACTACCTACGAAATTCTCAGAGGAATTGACAGGGTAGATAAAGATAAACTGTTTAACACGGGTGGTTCGCGAACAAGGTGGAAACTAGAGTACCCGCATGAGCCACAGGGACGTTAGAAAGAACTTTTTCAGTGTCAGAGTAGTTAACAGGTGGAATGCATTAGGCAGTGATGTGGTGGAGGCTGACTCCATACACAGTTTCAACTGTAGATATGATAGAGCCCAACAGGCTCAGGAATCTGTACACCAGTTGATTGACAGTTGAGAGGCGGGACCAAAGAGCCAGAGCTCAACCCCCGCAAGCACAAGTAGGTGAGTACAGGAAACGAAACTCTGGTAAAGGGGACATATATAAAGACTCAAAAAGGCAGACAAAGATATATTGAATAGTGAACAAAAATTATATGTTTAAGAATAAGTTATCTATTTATCGCCTATTGGGCCTCTACAGGCAGCTCCAGTATGTACTGAAAACATATTCATGTATACGTCTGCCCTGCGCTTGAAACAAACCAGCGACAACATACCTATTATGTTACCAGACTTTCTCTTGCTACTCAAGTCAACAACCCTGTTTCACAACCAGTATTTACCCAGGGTTAAATAGTCAGATGGAAACAATCATACTACTCGGCACCTCATTAGCAACCCTCCACGACTCCAGTACTCAGCTAGACTCTAATGAGTCATTAAAGATGCCAGACAAGGTCTTACCAAGTTCTTAGTGAACCTCTTTACACAGAGTAGGACTTAAGAACATATAGGTCAAGGAAACCTGCAGAAGGCCAATTGGCCCATACGTGGCAACTTTCTCTTTATATCCACCCAAACTTACTTGTGTGTGGGTATATATATATATATATATATATATAATATATATATTATATATATATATATATATATATATATTATATATATATATATATAATAGAATGTCTAACCTACGCTTGAAAACAGTTCAACGTGACCACTACGGCTGTTATGTCAGCAGGTAAACTGTTCCAGAACTCAGCAACCCTGTTTGTAGACAAGTCTTTAACCAGCAATTTTCTAAAAGTACACTTATTCAATGTATGTCCATTGTTTCGTGTAATATTTTGTGTTGCTATAATAAGAGGTTCCTTGTTATTGATCCACTAGGACGGTGATGCAGGCGATGGGTCACAATAACGAGGGTGAACATATGGTGAACGTCTCCGCCACAAGATGGAGAACACAACGACGTTTCTGTCCGTCCTGGACACGGCATAATAAGGGTCCAGGACGGACCGAAACGTCGTCGTCTGTACATTTTCTAATGTTGGGGTTGTTCATCATTGTTCACTTTAATCAAGTCACGCGTAACTCTATGCCTCACTATAGAATGTTAATTAGTTTTGTTCAGTCTCTCTACATGGAAGGTTTCTAATTTGTGATATTAACTCTGTCATCCTTCGTTGAACACGTTCAAGTGAATTCATGTCCATTCTACAGTATGGCGACCAAAACTGAACTGCATAATCTATGAGGAGCCTAACATGAGGAAGATACAGCTGTAGAATAACACCAGGTGGCTTTACAAATTCCAAAATATATACATGAAATATATATATATATATATATATATATATATATATATATATATATATATATATATATATATATATATATATATATATATTAAGATGAATAGGAAAACCAGGGATATACTGAACATCTTGTATCAGAATCTTTACTTTAAAAAACATAACGTTTCGAATACTTCTCGTATTCATCATCAGATCTAAAAGAAAAAACAGAAATCACAATCAAATAGCTGGTAAACAAAGAACTCATACTGAATATAATTGCCTATCAAAGAAAAGAAAATGCTTAAAAAACAAAACACTTTAGCGCACTTAAAGTGATCAGTACAAATAAAACTTATTAACTGTCACATATATTAAAACTAATTTAAAATCTATTAAACTACAAGATGAAATTTATAACTACTAAAACAAACCATTCCATTAAGCTTACGTGAAGTGATCAGAAGTGAAACTTGATACCGAACACATAGATACTAAACACTATAACAAATATTTATAAAATGACTACAATGTACAAAAAATGTATGTAAAATACAAACAGAATAAACGACAATTATAAAGTACTAACCAAAATCTTAAAATAACTCAAATTTTAAATAAAATTAAATACCAAAAAATGTATTATATATCCTAAATAAAAGATTATATTAATGTACAATGTTAAGACTTGAAATAAGTAAGAAAGGGCAAAGACATGGTAAACTAAACAAAATTAAACTACCAAAATAAACTAAAAATCAAATTACAGGGCCTACTGTGCACTATACAGTGTACAATTGAACAGCTGAAAGGTTGCTATTTAACAGAGGCCGCAGCTCCTTTATATATAAGGATTCCATTACTCTCAAATCTGACTGGCCATTCATACAAGTGTCCAGAATTTTAAAATCAGATTCCAGCAGAGAATTAAGTGTTTTGTTTTTTAAGCATTTTCCTTTCTTTGATAGGCAATTATATTCAGTATGAGTTCTTTGTTTACCAGCTATTTGATTGTGATTT